GTACCTCAAACCTATTATTGATTTATATTGTCATGTGTGTGCAGCCAACCATTATTTAATATCTTACGTCCTTTTCACCAACAGTTTTCCACATAATTTTTTTGTGCTACTGCTCTTCTACTACTTAAGTTACGTCCTATGCTGTCCTATGCTTTCCACGATTGATAGGAGCTTTTAATCGTCACAGAAGGACTATTTTTCATATATGGAAACAATCAGATATTTGGTGCAGTTTATTAATTCCTTTGTATTTGCTTAATTTTTCATTTTGAATTTTCATAAATTCAATACTGAATTTATGTTCGTTTGTATTAGAAAGTTTTTAATCCATTTTAAAATGAAAGAAGAAAAAGTATATTGAAAATTTTCTATTATTGCTCTACAGAGATATTTGATTTAATATTTGTAACGTTACGTTTACTTTTCATCAAAGCTAAAGGAAAGTATTCCATTGTATTTCGTAAGAACAATTACTGCAGGCAATGAAAAATATTTTGATAAATTTTGTTCTCATATTTGTTTGTTGAGCTCTTACAGATGCAGCAGCAGCTGCAGTAGTAACAATGCCAGATATGAAATATTCTCCTAGTGGCTGAACATCAAATCATTCACGTAAATCCTAGAGAAATATCCGCAACTAAATCTTCACAACGGCTTTAAAAGGAATAAACAATGTAAAATTGCAACTAACTTGCAAATTCACGTAAGACGAAATCATGCAAATCCACTACGAATATAACTGAGATACTTTCAACATAAAGTAACAAAATTTCCCTGCTGTTTTCTTACTTAACTCCTAAATGTGTCAGTAAATAGTGCAGCATACTTTACGGCACTTCAGCTTGTAATGTGAAAATAAAGCGAATACAAAAGCTTAAAAAATGATACAAAAATAAAATTTTATGTTCTTATAATATATGCTTATATATATATATATATAAATACATGTGTACATAAGTAGTTGGAGTTGTTGTGTGTATTATGTGGCCATATATTTTGCATAACAGCAGATCGTTAGCATCTGCTTTTCTTGCCATTATTGCGCTACCGTTACAAAATGCAGCAAAATGCATTTTCTTTCTTGTACTTCCTTAATATTTTACATGCAACAAGATTCTGCTTTTAACGCCTAAAGTATATGAGAATTATGCACTTCTTTTTATAGTAAAAAATTTAAAGACGATTAAGAAATTTATGGTTATGCAATTCGTGCAACTTTTGTATCTTGTACCTAAGTTTGAGATACTTTTTTTTGAAGTTTCTTTACTTATGGAATTTAAGGAGAATGAATAATTTTTTATTTTACTTGGTTTAGGATATATACAAAAATTTGTATTTAATTTTTGCTCGAACTATATATGAGCACAAACTAATATTATACAGTTTATATAATAGATCAAAGACGTATTGCCTAAGAATATGTAGAAACATATGTTCATCTCTTACTTATGTATTTTAGTGATATCCTAACATTGTAGCACTAATAATGTTTGCAATGTATACATTTAAGCTAAGTTGAGCACTTACTGTATGAATAAGTGGAGTGAAGTCAAGCTCACTTCGTTAATTGTATTTTATTAAAATGTAAATAGATTACAAATGAGTCCGTTTAATTTGTGTTGAGAATTTTTCCAAAATTAAACTTAATTACTGTAGTAAATATTTTATTTGTTTTCTTGTAGTTTTCTATGGAGTCATTATATGACGAAAGAGAGTAGTGAATTTATGTATTTATAACTCAATTGAAGGTATTTAATTGAATTTTATACAGCAACTTTTCTGATATATAGAGTTAGTTCCAGTTACTCTAATAGTAAGTATGACACTAATGCTTCAACTCATACAATTTTCTCTTTAACTTGGGAATATCACTGTTTTTCATCAATACCTTTGAGTGTTCTGCAATTGCTGTGCAAGAAATTTTGGCAAAAAATAGCTCAAAGCTATTGTTGTGCAAGAGATTTTGGCAAAAAATAATTTAAAGAATATAGAGCTGATTCCGTTAGCTATAGAGCTGATTCCGTGTAACTTTTTTCTTTTTATAAAACCTAAATCACAACTCCAAGAAATGTGTTTTGAGTTTACTGAGGGCATAAAAAAATGACTGGAGTTAAACACTTTACCTCAATCAGTCTATGAAAAATGTATTGAGCAATGAGTCGAGCGTTGAAATAGATATATTACTTAGATAGGACTTACTTTGAAGGCAACCAATTAGATAGATGATTTCTTTGCCTTTTATTTAATAACGTATATTATCTTTAACATAACATAAAATATGTATAACATGTTCCCATTTAAATATAACAATTCATAAAACTATACTATGCAATAATTTTGTTTTTTATGTTATATTAAAACTACTTATTTAAGATCTTTATTCAAAGGTTGCAATCTTCGTGTAAGAGTTCTGCGAATATTGATTTGATATTAAAAATATGAAGATGTAAATTAACTGAAAAAACATATTGGTTGCATTTTAATGGAAACTTTTAACATGACTGGAAATAGTGTTGGAAAACCGCACTTCCATTCGAATTGGTTATTAAAAAACCAATACATTTATATTTTGAGTTATGGTGAAAACAATATTGAATTAGATAATAATTCAATAATGGTATCTACATTAAATCAGGTATAATAGATCTAATCTATAACTATAATTTTTAGTTTGTATGCTATGGGTTTTTTTTTTAGCATAAGAAATATAAATAAATTACTGTAGAGTATTGGCGCTGCTATCAAATAAGAGTCTATTTATCTTGTTTTTTATTTTCACATATAAAGATAAAAACAAATTACTCTTGATGTACATTTTTCTAAACATAATTCTGCAATATACTTTATTTTAATTTTAATTTGTGATTTTTAAAGTCTTATAGTAGAGATTTTCATGCAGAAACACTGTGAATATATTTTATAATGAAGAAGTAAAGATGTTAATTAGTGTGAAAAAAGGTAAAATTTATTTTAATATTGCCTTATATTTAATTTCTATTTCTTATTTTTTAATTAAGCATATTCGTAATTGAGCATAAAATTTAAAAATGCAAATTATTCATGAAATGTGTATATATCAAACATATTTAATACTATTATTTTTTAATTTCATGAATAATTAAAATACATATTTAGGCATTTTACTTCATAATTAATAGGTAATTTAATTTTAATTGCAATAAATTGCCAATGGTATTAGCAAGTTTAATTGGGCAAATAATTTTATTTTCTTGTGCCTGAAATCGATTCCAAATGACTAAATTAATTTTACTAAAGTTGCTATAATTTTCAATGAATTCACAACAACAAAAAACTAATATTATTAAAGATATTATTAAAATGTTCATATACATTTTTTCAAAACTATCATTTTTATAAAATAATTATCTCTTAATATAATTCTGTTTAATATGATTACATATCAATAAAGGTACTTTCCCATTTACCTTCTCTTGTTTATAATTTAAATACAATTTAATTAAATTTTCTTATTTATTATTTTATTTTTTATAATTAAAGTTCATTTAAAATATGAGCCTTTTACATGTTGGGTTATAATGAAATGCTTTCCGTAAAATTTAATTTTTGTGCTTTTGTTTCAGAATAATTTAAATAATAATATTATATAAAATTGATTCAAATTTTAAAATTCAACTGGACATTTAAAAAAAATAAGAGAACCAATGATTTAAATATTTTTAAATTTATTTTGTATTAAATTCCCTACAATAGGCATTGCAGGAAAATATTAATTTTGTTTTTTGTATTTGTTTTAAAGTATAAATCTGTTATATTGTTAATACTAAAGACATAGTAGTATTACAATATTCTGTGAAATGTGGTATGCATTTTAACTACAAGTATTATGTGACTGTTAGGAAATAAGACTTTCATTGTAACCTATATATGGGTCGATTATATAGGAATAAGGTCATTATATAGATCTTATATATATATATATATTTATATATAATTATATATATACATAACGGTTAGGAAATAAGTCCAGCACATTCATTGGACTTTCATAATAACCTATATATGGGTCGATTATATAGAAAGAAGGTCATTATATAGACCTTTTATATATATGTGCATATATTATAGATATTATTATATATTTATCTGTATATCTATTTATCTATATCAATATAAGTTCTACAAAATAGATTTTATTCCTATATAATCGACCCATATATATTATATAGGACCCTATTCGATATAATGAAAATAAAATAATGTACGGGACATGTTTTCCGGCAGTCACATGAAACGAATATATAAGATGGACGGAAGCCTCACTTCACATTTCACAGAATGTTTTAAAACTATCTGTCTTTAATATTAAGATCAATAAAGGTACTCTATTATTTACCTTCTCTTGTTTATAATTTATAGTCTTGTTTATAATTTAAATAATATAAATAATATTTTGAAACATGTGTCAAGTTATATTATATTATGTATATTATATATGTATTATATATTTATCATACATATATTATGTATATATTGTGTGTAATAATATATATGTAGATATAGTATTGAAAGACGTTATTAGGTTTGTAAACTCTCTTAACTTATCGAAATTGATTTAGGAGACTCTCTCTAGGGATGGCACAATAGATCTTATAAGTTGCAATGACCATTAGCGTCTTTAAATAAAAATAATAATTTTATAATATGGTTGTTAGTTATAGAAGATCACAAAAGAATATTAGTATATGCTTCATAATTTGTTTTTAAAATCAGTTCTAGTTCTACAAGAAATTATTTTAATTATTTGTTTAATTTGTTTAAAGCTCATTATGTAAAAATGCAAATTTTCTGGTCACTATCCTCAGAGCCAAGTAAAACTCATTAAAGACATAATTTGTAAAATAAATTTAAATTTTTCTAGCAACGACATATCAAATAAAAAACTAAAAATATCAAAATGTAGTGAAAACCTAATGAAACTAAAATTAAAATTAAAAATTTAAAAATAAAAATTTTTATTTATGAAATCGCACAATTTTCGCTTGTAAAATAAATAAAAAAATACCAAAAACATGTTCGGCTGCATTTATCAGTTATGGGACTGGTAAGTATTGGCAAAAGCATATTGAATTACTGCAACTGACATATTTCGGGTAAATCTACAGATTTACAGCTTTGAAGCAGGTTTTACAAAATTTAATTAAACGTAATTAAAATTTCAACATCCGCACCTGTAAGAGCGGATACATGAAGCACAGTGAATTGCAGGCTTAACAAAGTCGTTACTTAACTGGCATTCCAACAAGTAACATTTGGTCGCACTCGCTATTTTGTGCCACCAGCACATAGTGTTGTTGTAAACTACACTATAGGCCATTTGTCTATTTGATGCGTTCCAGCAGAAGCCACATGTGAGCTTAATCAATTAAGGGCAATTAAGCTTGCACCACACAACAATTCATTTGGAACGTTGACAGCGTGCCTGACGCACTTGCAATTTAGCAATGACCGATAAAAAGCAAGGAAGCTTATGTGACCAGTTGAAGTACAAAATTCCTTGCATTATTTATGAGACAGAAGGCTTACTTTTGGTTAACGAAATATTTTTTGACAAACTTTAACTTCCTTAATATTTTTGACGATTTTAAAATAATAATAAATTTTTTTTACTGATTTAATTTAGTTGTACAGTTGATACAATTTATTTATTAAACCCATTTTTTTTTGCAGGTTGGAAGCACCCCCGTTATTTACAGGGGCAACAATGGACGCCAAAAAATTGCAACAATTGCAGCAGGCAAATGCACAAAAGAAAATACCGCTTGCATATCAAACAAATATTGCCGATTACCGTACGGCAACACATTCGCCAGTCTTCCAACAACAGCATCATTCACAAGGTGGTTATCATATGAGTGGCACGGGCTATCAGCAAAGTCCTACAGCTACTTCATCGAGCGGTGGACCATTGACGCCAATCGATATGCAGCCGCAACCAAATAAATTGCTAATGAAGCAC